TAATGGTTTATGAATTTGAAATTGTTCCTTTATGTACATGTATAATGACATGGTGAAAATCTAATAAAACTTATTTCATTTATGGAAGTTAGACAACGTTTTCCAATTGGACGAAGGAACGATTGATTCGAAGAGATCCAATGAAAAAATGGCTCAGCGATCGTTGAAATTGTAAGATTGCCCACGTAAGATCGAAGCTATGAGCAAGACTCGTAAGTGAACGTGATTACTTTCGTAACATTTCTCTCAAAGTTATAGTTGTTCCCTTGCAGCTCCAGTGGAAAAAAGGAGGAGACAATGTTTATGTTGCTGGAACGTTCAACAATTGGACTCCCGTGGCATTGCGAAAGAAAAACGACGGTTCTTTTGAAGTCACGTTGGAAGTACCCCCAGGTGAAGTAGAATTCAAGTTTATTGTTGACGGAGAGTGGAGAGAAAGTGAAGATTATGATACCAAGCTTAGCAGCGTGAACTCTTTGAACAATGTTCAACTTGTCGAGCTACTCAAAAGTGAACAGATTGGTACTCAAGACAAGATAACCGATTCCGAGAAAGACATAAACGTCGAAAGTTATGAAAATGTTCGAGTTCCAGCAAATTCAGAGACGTCCATTGTCGATGAGAACGGACACGAGTCTGAAAATATGAAGAGTTCGAAGTCTGATCGGAAAAAAGAAGAAACTTTGCAAGTTAAAACGAAAGAAAGTCAAAGAGCCAAGGTAGAAAGCAATACAGGAGAGAAGTCAGTAGAACCTGGAAAAAATTGGAAACAAAGATGTTGTGTATCCTGAAATATTCGAATGAGTTAGGTGACCATTCCCACGTAAACAATGGATATACACGATAGTAAATTTTTTGTTCTACATAAAAATATTCTCGATATTCAAGTTAATATAGCGAATTGCTTCTCGTTCAACAATATGTCAAGAGCCAAAGTCATTGTATCATGCAAACCCAACTCGTTTCTATTGGAAAGCTCTTTGAATAACGACAAGCGGTCAAAGAGTCCATCCCTGCTGTTAACTCAACTGGTCTTTGCCATCCAAAGCATGTGACAGAATATAGAAATGGCCACTAAATAGACTTTCTTCATTTCTTGCAAGTAAAACTTCGAGATGAATTGGACACTTGTGGCGTGTGGAAATCTTACAGAGTCAAACATCATAGACCCATGAGTAACTATGGGATTCTTCCCAAAGTATTTGCTGATCTCTTAGCCAGACATTGTCTTGTAACTTATCTCTGAAGCAGCTATCAGCTGTTGCTTCTGGAAGAAATCGTTCTCCTTCACCATTTCGGATAAACAGTGCTATTGGATCCTTCTGTAAGCATCCAACTAAGCGATAACCTTTCTTTCTTGATGCTCGAATAACGGCTGCGAGACTAGCACCAGTAAACAAGTTGTTACGACCTTGTTCCTTCTTTCCGCAATGGTAAAAGCGACTACCATCCTGTTCATCATTCGGTTGGTAGCTTCTAACAGCTACAATATCGGGTCCAAAGTATTCCTGGTAGGTCACCACGAGAACCCTGGGTTTGACCGTAGAGATTCTAATGAAAATAAACAAAATGAACAACACTAGAGAACAAAGATACTTGCCTTGTCCAAATCCAAAAATCCATTCCATCTAAAAATATGAAAAGTACGTCAATTTCTCCAATAACACGAGCATTAGAAAGAGCTTGCTCAACATTTTCAATGTCAAGATGTTTGTATATGAGTGTGACAGTGGGATACTGCTGATGCAAGTCATGTTTCTTCTCTCGTTTGTAAGTCTGTTCTAGGGTCTGATAGAATTTCGCTCCTTCTGTATAACCCGAGAATGAGCTGTAAATAACAACAATTTGGCTCCACAAAGGATAAAGAAGAAAATGTGCCGATGCGTGATAGGCGGATTGAAAATGTCCTCCTTCAAGTTCAACAGCAACTCGATTCTTTGTTCCTATGATAGAAAAGATATACAACAAAGCACTGTCTGTGGCAACTGTGGAATACTGAGAAAAATGAAAAATTTTCAAAAAAGGAAACTTGATTTTTTCAAACTGTTGGCTAGCCTTTGACTCACATAAACCACTATATGCCAACTCAGTTTGACGAAACTTCGAAGATAACAAAAAAAGCTTTGAATTTTGCTTCTCCAGTTTGAAATCGAAAATACCTAACGCCCTTTCCTTGTAACCTGACTCCACTTGTTTCTGAATTCTGTTCAACTCGGCAACAAGGCTCTGATGCGACACTGCTAATTCGTGGCAAACATCAACGAAGCCATAGTTTACCAGAAATATCTCTGAGAAGAATATATAAACAAGGAAGGCACAAAAATACTTCAAAAACTGCTTAGAATTTCTTTGAACAAAGGCAGCCTGTTGAAGTAGCTTTTGAGAATTTGTCATTGGCGGGGTTAGAACGCGCCAAAATCTTTGTGCTAAATAACGAATTGGATGAATTGAGTTTGTCACTTGTAAGGAACCAAACAAAATAAAATTATCTTGAAACAAAGTGAAAGACTTCCTATGTGAACGAAAAGATGAGTCACAAATTTTTTGCTTTCTTAGTTTTCAGCAATCTTTGCCATAGCTAGTTAGATCAAGATAGCTCTTTCCTTCCACAACGTTGAAAGAACCGATATTGAGAGAAAGGCCAACTGCCCGAAACTACGAATTTTCCGCACGTCTTTGCTTATAATTAGTTTAAAACTAGCATAGCTTAAGAATTGGAAAAGCATTGGGCAGCATATTTGCTTTCATCAGAGAGGTTTACACTAAGAAACTTACTATTTGAAAACTTGAGTTACCACAAAGTTCCTTTTCAACGCAAGAAACAGCATAGTCATGTTTGGTTCATTCCGATGAAAACGAGTTCCAACAAAGACTTAAAGTCTTCAAGAAAACTAACAACGAATCTCCTTCTAACACAAGATCACCATTTCAATATGGGGTTCTCTTTAAAACGCCGGTACTGTTCCATATTAAAATACGATACTTCAGCTCCACTGGAAATTCCCTTTGACTGTAAAGTTTCACCATCTCCGATAATCCAGCCTTCTTGGTCAAAGTTGATAACCAAAGAATGGTCCTTAAAAGACTGATCAGATAAGGTATATATTTTGACAGTGTCGAAGGGACAATTTACAAAGGTTGTAAGATTCTGCGATGACCTGATTTCTGTCAAGTTTTTGCTACAAAAGTTGGAAACTGTCATTCGACTTACTACTATCGATGAGTTCCTTCAGTTCTCTACCAGTTGTTGACGGGGCAACATTTTTCAGTACCAAATACTTTATATTGCGATATTCGAAACTTTTAATTAAACGAATATTCAGTATAAGGTCACTTTGTGACATTTCAAAAAAAGCTTACTAAATGGGCCTCAACCCCAGTGTCAATTTTGATAAATCTTTCATGTGCTTTTTCAGTCTAAACAGCTTTAGTGGCATCTTAGTATTGTAAAAAAACTTCTACACTGAAAACTCCTCAGTATACAACGGTTCATGTTTGTCTCTATCAGTTGCCTTTTACTCTTTTCTATAACTCACGTTAGTTTGCAAATGCGTCACTAGATCAGACTTAAACTGTCTGTTCTGCTATTTTGCTCTCTGATTGAACAACAACCACCCGGAACATTCCTGTCATTTTTGTAATG